CCCCAAAACCCCAAAACCCCAAAACCCCAAAACCCCAGCTTAGAGATAGGAGATTGAAACTAAATATAAATGCTAAAATATGGTTCATTCTCTTCATCAAGTTCTTGTCGGTGTCGACGATCTATTTCCCATGAAGCTATATCAAATATTCAGATAAAAAATATTTTGTAAACATATAAAATTTGTAGTTTAAACCAAAATATCAATACACAACATTTATCTATTCAGATCTTTCTAAGTATATGGGATTTCTCTATTCTAGTGAAAAAGAAACAAATGGGTGGGTCATTAGGATGTGCATTTTATTAATTTTATGACCATCCTGAGTTTCAACATGATTTCCATAATCATCAGAGCATCATTTACTTCAGTTATTAAAAGCAATTGAGAAAATTAAAATTTAATGATAGATAACCCAAGATGTAGAAATTATAAAAATTTACAGAAAAAATTGGCTAAAACAAATTTAATGCATAATAATCTACTAATGTTACAAATTTTAAGCATTAAGCAAGCATATTATATCCATAAATTTGGAAAGTTATAATGACAGAGATGAAGAAAATGACTGGTAAAACTTCCTCTGGGCTTTCTGAGGAAATATCACATTGTGTTGACTCATTTTATTAATCGCCTAGAGCTTACTTTGATCCGTTGTGCAACTTCTTTCCAGATGATATAAAAGAAGAGTCTATGTTCTGAATGATAAAGTTCTTTAGCAAAGGCATTGGCGTTCTTTCAAGTTCATATCTAGAAAGCACGTCATCTTTAATCTCCAGCTGCTTCTTCTTTGAAGGCTCCGTTTTATTTTAGTCCAAGTTTTAGAGCAAACTTAGAGAAGAAGTTTTGTTTTGAGGGAGACTCTTCTACTTTTAATAAATGAGATGACTCTGAATCTGATTCATCTGAACTTATTGTCTCACCGTCTCTGTTTGTTCAAAATTGGTGAGATTCGTGTGGAGTGCTAGATGATTAGTTATCTTTGAGTTTACCTCTTGGATAAGGTTCTTGCTCCTTTTCTGACTATTATGTTTGCATATACACATGTCTGTTCTTTTTCTTCAATTGAAATTTCTGAATGGAAACTCTTGTTTCTCTTACTTCTACCAATTTCACTGCATTCGAGACCGCATAACTCTGATTTTCTCCTTCTTCTCTTAGTTCTTCCTGGTGAGTTGCAAACTACAGGACTTTTTCAAAGGTCATCATTATCTCTAGAAAACATTCTTTCTCTTGTTTTCTTTATCATACCTTGCTCTTTAGTAGCTTCTTCTACAGATTTGAAGGAAGCAATTCACTAAATTTAATCATAGCAACAATTTTAGGCCATCATTTAAACTTGTTCGTTTCTTTTTTCTTACCTTGATAGTATCATTATTATTTTAAAACCTGTTTGACTAAAATTTGGTCATCTGTTACTGAGTCATTCTCAACATCTTTGAGCTCTTCAATCGTACTGGAGGAAAAAGCTTTCTAAATAAATGGTTAAGAGCTATTAAGACTCTAGAGGATCAAAAGGCTAATTGCATTAAGATATCTTACCAGGTCTTCTAAGCGATCTTCAAACATATCGTTATGGGTCGTAATGGTGTATCTTCATTGAGTTCTGACCAGCTTCTTGCACTCAAATTCTTCCAAGACGAACAGCTTTTCTTTCCTGAATGGCTCTATTGAAAAATCATCTTCTTGAGTCTGAGGAATACGAAGAGCAAATTCACCTTTACTTTCCTCCTCTATTGTTGGAAGGTTAAGATATTTGGAGCAACTGTGCTCTAATTCCACTGAATCAAGGATATTTTTGCCAAAAATTCCATTATTATCAATACTTTTGGGTGTTTTAATGGCATTTCTGTTCTTGTCTGCATCCTTAAGGCTTAACTTATTTGGAGAATTTTGAGAATAAAAGTTTAGAGAGTTCATAACATGCTTGTGATCAGTAGTTACTTCTAAAAGTAAGAAATTAATTTTACCTCGACTGTCACTCATTGGGCTGTCATTATATTCTAAAATTAAGAAAAGATTTTATTTACCCTCTCAAAGTTTGTTCCAAAATATGATTCCTAACTTCTGACAAATGTTCTTGACTTGGAGGATTGAAATGTGGTTCTCTAACTTCATCTTCACACAAACTTGAGTTGCTTTGTACCCATTTTTGAGCTAGGATTACGAATAAGCTTACCTGCATAACTAGATTTATCCAAATATCTAGTGATTCCAGATGTCAAACTATTTCTGAGTTGTCTCAAAGATATTCAGATACAGACCCCTCCAAAGGTAAAATTGCGTTACTTTCAGCATCAATAATATTTGAAACCTTTAAAGAGCTAATCCCGTAATATTCCTCAAAATTATCTTGCAAATACTTTGTGATCTCAATACAAAGATCTGTCATCGTGATATATTGCTTAATATTGATCATCCATTTCTTGTCAGGGATATTATCAATGGAGAAATAAATGTTGAGGATATCTGTAGTAAACCCTCCATCTTTCTCTAAGCAAATAAATTGGTCTTCTCCTCCTTTAGAGTAGCTGGACATGCTATCTATTCTTGAGGAGTACTCTTCCAACACTTCAAAGTTCATCTATGTTATATCTAATAATTTAATTTATTATCAATCTTGAGGTTATAGGCTGGGGTTTTGGGGTTTTGGGGTTTTGGGG